CCTCCCTCCCCCCTTTCCCTGTGTCTCTCCCCATCTCTCTCCCTACCCCCTTTCTCTGTGTCTCTCCCCATCTCTCTCCCCCCTTTCCATGTGTCACTCCCCTCCTCCCCATCTCTCTCCCCCCCTTTCCCTGTCTCTCCCCTCCTCCCCATCTCTCTCCCTCCCCTTTCCTGTGTCTCTCTCCCTCCTCCCCTTTTCCCTGTGTCTCTCCCCATCTCTCTCTCCCCTTTCCTGTGTCTCTCCCCATCTCTCTCCACTCCTGTCTCTCCCCTTTCCTGTGTCCCTGTCTCCCCCATCTCTCTCCCTCCCCCTTTCCCTATGTCTCTCCCCTCACCATCTCTCCCCTCTCCCCATCTCTCCTTCCCCCCTTTCCCCGTGTCTCTCCCCATCTCTCCCTCCCCCCATCTCTCCCTCCCCCCTTTGCATGGAGTCGGGGGCGACGGCGTTCTGGCTGGAGCCATGGCCGGGCCTGGTGGCAGCTTCCCCGGTCCGGCGGCCCTGCTCCTGTCACTGCTGTGGCTGATGGAGGAGGAGCATGTCTCTGTACCATGCTCCCATGGCACAGGAACCGCGAGGGAGCATGGTACAGAGACATGCTCCTCCTCCATCAGCCACAGCAGTGACAGGAGCAGGGCCGCCGGACCGGGGAAGCTGCCACCCAGCCCGGCGGCTCCAGCCAGGAACGCGGTCGGCCCCCAGGTGCCGCGGCCCACCGGGAAATTTCCCGGTATCCCGGTGGGTCAGTCCGGCCCTGCTGTGCCCCTCTGATAGTGCTACTCCTGCCTCTTTATGTTTTGGTGGGCTACAATTCTCTCACACTCCCAGACTCAATTGTAAAGGAGGCGGCGTAGGCATCCTTCTCTCCCCTCAATGTACATTTCAACCAATCATAACTCCCCCTGCCCTATCCTTTTCTTCTTTTGAAGTTCACACTGTCCGCCTATTTAAACCCACTCCTTTAAGAATTGCTATCATCTACCGCCCCCCGGTTATCCTAGACTATTCATTGAGCACTTTTCTTCCTGGCTTCCCCACTTCCTCTCATCTAGCACTCCTTCCCTTATACTTGGGGATTTCAATATCCCAATCAATAACCCCAATTGCACTGATGCCTCTCGTCTGCTCTCTGTAACCTCCTCCTTTGGCCTTACGCAATGGTCCAATCTAGCAACCCATACAGCAGGAAACACTCTTGATCTTGCCTTCACCAACCTCTGTACTGCCTCTAATCTCTCCAGTATTCCTTTTCCTCTATCCGACCACCATCTGCTGACTTTTGACATTGGCATACCTAAGACCCAATTGACACCACCGTCTGAACATCACTCTCACAGAAACCTCCAATGTCTTGACCTAGAGCATTTCTCCACTAATCTCCAAACTCTCCTTTTACCTATCTTAAACCTCACCTGTCCTAGTTCTGCAACCGCCTTCTATAATTCCACCCTCTCCTCTCAACTAGACATCGTGGCACCTTGTACATTTAAACGCCACAGGCCCCCCCAACAACAACACTGCCACACCAAGCTTACTCTTTACCTCCAAAAACGCTCCAGAACTGCTGAACGCTGTTGGAGAAAGTCTCACTGTGCATCTGACTTTCTCCACTATAAATTTATGCTGAGCTCATACAGCTTGGCTTTTTCCTCTGCAAAAGTTAATTACTTTAATACCCTCATAACCACACTCTCCCGCAAACCCAAATGACTATTTCACACATTTTAACTCTTCTTCGCCCTGCTGTTCCTCCTCCACCTACTAACTTGACCGCCTCAGACTTTGCAACTCACTTCACTGACAAGATCTCTACAATCAGAGAAAAGATCTCTCATCTTTCTTCTTCCCCTTACAATACTTCCCCTAACTTCACTCCCTCTGCTGTTCTATGTTCATTCGCACCCGTTACATTGGAAGAGGTTTCTGCTCTGCTCCAGTCCTCCTGCCCCACCTCTTGCTCCCTAGATCCAATTCCCTCGCATTTCATCCGTACTCTGTCTTCTTCTCTTTCTCCACCTCTCACTAAAATTCTCAATCTCTCTCTCCATTGCCCTTCAAACATGCAACTGTAACCCCAATTCTAAAGAAGCCCAATCTTGACCCTAACTCCCCATCCAACTATCGTTCTATCTCGCTACTGCCTTTGGCATCCAAGATTCTTGAAAAAATTGTGTATACGAGATTGACAGACTTCCTCGAGTCCAACTCTCTGCTAGACCCGCTTCAGTCTGGTTTCCGTGCTAAGCACTCTGTGGAAACGGCACTAACCAAGGTATCCAATTATCTACTCGCTGCAAAATCTCGTGGTCATTACTCTATCCTAATTCTCCTTGGCCTGTCTTTTGACACTGTTGATCATCAACAGCTTCTTCACATCCTCAACAATATCGGTCTACAAGATATTGCTCTAATATAGCTTGGTTGCTACTTCTAAGTGCTGTTTCTAAGTGTGTAGTTGGAGATATTCTGGAGAGTTTTACAGAAGCTTCAACTGTCTAAGAGT